CACTAGTGGACGATCGTCCCAAATTCGCATTCCTAACTTCTCCGTCTTCATGCGTCATAATGAGAAAACAGCTGGCTCCCTCCATAATGTCTTCTTTCAGCTGACCGAGCGTCACTGAAAGAACTTCTTCTTCTTCACCAGGGAAGATCAATTCCTTCGCTCCACAATCAATAAGAATGCGATTGGCAGTCAACCAATCCATTCCTAAAATCACCTCCAAACCTTGAAGAGGTAAGCAGATAAGGCTAACCTTAAACTTACGCCCTTCCACTTCTATAGGACACTTGACGCACATAGTGGACGTCCTAACCTCGCCAGCTGCTGGGGTAGACACCACCAGATCAAACTGCATCTCGCTCACTTCTAATCCCAGCTTTTCAACACACGCCTTCGAGATGAAGGAGTGCGTTGCCCCCGAATCATACAAGGCACAGCACGATCTACCAAACAGCATGCATTCACCAATTATAAGGTTACCTGAGCTCGCTGCCTCAGCGCTCGTTATAGCATACACTCGACCACTCGCTTGGGCTCGTCCTCCCCTTGGCTGATTTCTTCCAGCATTGGGCGGCCTCATCACTGCACGCCCACTCATATTGCACTCGTGATCCAAGTGCCCGTTCCTTCTGCAACGGTTGCAGTACTTTCCTCCCACCAACTGAGGGCATGAAGACCTATAATGCGGTCCTCCACACCGAAAACAAACTACACTTCCCTGCCCAGACTGTCCGACTGGGACTACTGCTTGAGATCCGCTCGTCTGAGAAGGCTGGTTTGGACGAGCATAAGGAGATCCCCTCTGATTGACATTTCCCCTTGAGACGATCGGTCCCCTTACTGTTTGTTGTTTCTTGTGTCGTTCTGCTTCTGCCATGTTCTTCTCTAACACCTTGGCCCTCTCAACCATGGCAGGAAACGTTCGTATGCACAAGCTTGAAATCAGAACTTTCAAATCACTCCTTAGACCGTTCTCAAACTTCCGACATTGCCACTCTTCACTGGTGGCCATTGTATTGAATCTGACAAGATGTTTGAATTTGTTGGTGTATTCTGAAACCGACATACCCCCCTGAGCCAGTTGTAAAAACTCAACCTCCTTTGCAAAACGGACGCTGTTAGGGAAGTACTCTTCATAAAATTTGTTTCTGAACACTTCCCAAGTTACTGGTTGTTGAGCGTCCGTCAAAATGGCCCTCGCGCTCGCCCACCAGTGGCTCGCTTCTCCAGTCAATAAGTACTCAGTGTACGCCAAGCGGTTCTCATCCGGACACCTCTTGGCATTGAAGATCCTCTCCAT